TTGCTTGGAGAAAATCTTCGTTATAAACAGATCTTCGTTATAACCAAAGTTCGTTATAGCCAGCTTTGACTGTACTTAGGCCTCGATCCTGACAATAGCTAAATAATCTGCCAAAGCTTTGCCATCGATAATGAGAGCAGCCTTTGCTACTTTAGCTTGTCCAACCAAATACTCATTATGTACAGTATGGGACAAAAAAATTTGCCTTCGGTAAAATTACAATAACTCAACAATTACAAGAAATAATTAAAAGCAAACAGTCTTGTTAGATAGCGTATTAGGTACTTATTTGATATAAAAAATTTTAATACATAATCTTATTATCATTTCCTCGTTATACTTGCTTGTATCAGTTTTCGTTGCACACAAAAATTTATCACTGTAAATGCTTTACATAGTAGTCATTCGTTGAATTTGTAATATTTTTACATAAGACAGTCGGTTTATGATAATCTTTGTTTCTCCCACGGTTTATTCTTTGGTATGTTACATCCTGTCATGCTCTAAAACATTCGTATCTTTTGGCTTTTTGAGATTGTTTACAATGGAACAAAGATAAACCCTCATTTTTGGATGTAATTTTATCTGACGAATAAACGTTGTTGGGATATAATCTGAAAGTAAAGTAAAACGGTGTAAATTTCAACCTTCATCCTTGTGTAACATAGTTTATAAAGTTCTCAAAAATTAAAGCAGAAGTCAACAAAGCCTTTTCTTTGTAATATCTCCAATGAGACATAAACAAGCTGATAAAAATATGTGGACCATAATAACAACGCGTTTCTTGTCTATTCTGCAAAATATTTTCAATTTCCCAAGGGCAATTTTTTTTGTCACACACTGTATATGTTATGTTACACCTCAGCTAGGCAAATTTATACATACCCACAGCAAGTGACAATGATCCCAACCTAATTGTGTCTATCCAATGTAGACTCAGAAAACAACTGCAGATATTGCTCACGAACATAAGAAATACCAAAACAGCATTGACAAGACAAGAGATCTCAACTTGAAAGCTTGCAAACTTATGTGAGCTATCACTATTATATGATCAGGCTGCAATTGTTTTTGGTTCCTATTTTCTGACAGAGAAAGACATCACCAAATTGTGTGCTTGGGGCATTGACAAACATGTGGTCCATATCCCATTTCATGATGACACCACTTGTGTTATAGGGCATTGTAGTGTTCAGGAATTGGTTATGGAGCTGGCAGAAGAAAACTTTTGAGAGTTTGACACAGAGATCCAAAGTCTCCTTTTTGCCATATGCTCCTCAATAAATTTCACCAAGTGTTGCCACATCGAAGCCTAGCTGAATCAGGAGGTTGTTGTGAAATTCCTCATATCCAACAACAAAAATTTCCCAATTTTGCCATAGTAATAGTACTCCTTGTCCAGATGAAAGCAAGTCATTAAAATTACTTGTAACCATGTGTAAAACTTGATTATAGAGTCAAACAAAGAACATATCAGGACAATTTCTTTGGTTTTGTCTGTCTCTTGAGGATTGTGGTACTTTTCTAGAATCAAATGTTTGTCTCTTTCCAGAATGTCGAGAGTTAAATCCTTATCTTTTTCGTCTTCCAACAGGATATCTGTCCTGTTCGATGGGATTGATCCTATACAGAGGCGAAGGATTGCCAAGGCAAGTTTTTCATGCTCAACAACAAAATTCTTGATAGCATAATGGGTATCAAGTTCCTTAGCCACATTGCTGAAGTACATGGTAACATCGCTAGAGCTGATCTGGTTAACATTCTTAAAAAATTCTTTGAATGCTGCCTGTGTCTGCCAACAGATGGTGTATCCATGGCACTAGAATATCCATGTCTCATTGGAAAAGCCATTGAGCTTTGCAAAATACTGCATGATTTCGACATGTGCTGCCATATTCAAGAGTGGACAGTCCACAAAATGCCATGAATACTCAGAGGCTTTTTTAGTGTTGATTACAGATTGCTTCACTGTTCCTGAGAAAAAGGGTTGGACAAAGTTGATTTTTGGTTCTTTACTGCTCATAAACGGACCCAATCTTTTCATTATGTCCTTGAAGATAGTCATCTTATTTTTGTCATTGAACTCGAAAATTGCCTGAAATTCATCTATTTGAAAAAACAAGATGAATTGTTGTGAAGAACGAAGATTCAGGGATTTCTGGATGCCCTTGATGACAGAGCCAAGCATGAAAACAACAGCATTTGGCATGACTTGTTTGTAAAAAGCTTCAAATGTTTTTGCATATTTCCCTTTGATGTAAAATGCATATGTAAGCCGAATGCTGAGAATTATTGAAGCATCTGATGTACGGTCACTCTTTAGCAGCTGTGCCCCATTGGTGAAGTCAAGACATATATATTCGTAATGAGGACTTGAATAACCAACTGTCCACCTGCTAGGCGGCGTCCAAGAACTTGATAAAGCTGTTGAAAACCTCTTTGCCAAAACGCGTCTTTCCTTAAAAAGGGAGTTGTGCGTATGCATACAAATTTGAAATGAGATTTTGACATATCAGATTTGGCATAGAGCACATTGTTACCGATGACGTTCACGGCGCGCCTTATGTTGCGACCTTTCAGCGGCATCAACATTCTTGTTTCAGGGTCGGTTTTCCGGTCGGGTTTGGCGCGATTCAGGATTCTGGTTATGACTGTCTCGAAGCGCCTCGACGATGGGATCTCTACAATAATAGACAGAGGATGAATTAAAATAGTGACACCCCAATGCTCGATTTACTATTTTTCATGTCTTCCTACGCTCTGCTCCACGCCCCAACGTCGAGTCACGAAGTCGTTACCTGTCGGAACGGCCGCTGCTGGTCTGAGTTGCAGTGCGCCAACTTGTCCTCTCCAGAAGGCTTCCTTGTTCTTCAGCTCCTCTTCCTCCTTCTCCAGCCTGCCCAGTTTTCTCCGCTCGCTCTCACTATGCTTCTCCTTGTCGAACAGCTTTTTCAGTTCCTTCCCGCCGTCTTCGTCTTCCTTAAACATCTTCAGTGCTGCCTCCGCCTCTGCCAGCTTGTTCTTAGCGTACTGCAATTCTTGCGCATCCATTATATTGGGAACAAATTTTTGTACGCGTTTCATGGGAAAATTTGTATGAATTGGTCACGTGGTGATGCATCACTGATTGTTTATTTACGTAATAGTGAAGGGAAAAAAATGAATAATGGTGAGCTGCCTTTGCCGGGGATAGATCGTTTGACTATGTAAGAAAATATGATACATTATTCATATATCTAAAATTAGATTTTTGTTTGATTTACACCACAGTATTTATTTCCGGTAAAAGATTATTTTCTCTGAAATATGTTAAACAGGCCCAAATTCGACTTTTACACTCACCAAGAGTTTCATTGGAGCAAACTTGTGGCATCCAGCAACATTCGGTCCATTCATCATCAGTGCATCGATATTGAGTGCCATGTAATCATGAATAGTAACCATTTCATGCTCGCACTGACCTATTTGCGTTATACTGTAAACGTATTTGATAAGTGTATTTCGTATTTTCAGACCTATTAATTGTCAACATATACTTTATAAATATGCGATTCAATTTTAGTTTTAATCCGTACCAGTAGAAAAAATTACATGATATACAAAAAAGGGATCAAAGCCTCCTTACTTTGTAAGTGAAAATCTATTTTGAGATAGGGCAAGTGTAGTATTCTTCAGAAATATTATATTAATATATGAAGAACACTATAGCAAATTGGAAGGTAGGAAGGTGTATTTATATTGTTCTTCAGAAATATTATATTAATATTCTATAATTTATAACTGGTTTAACTTAACGCCTGTCATATGTATTAGTATGTGTTATAGAAAAGACCGTTCTAGGATTTGTCCCGTTTCGGGATTGTCACATTAGAATAATCTCTTGCACCAATAAACTACATGATTTATGTGATAACGTCGCAAAAATATGTGACAGTCTTGAAACGGGTCAAACCCCAGAATGGGGACAATAAAAATTCTATTAATAGATCACCGCGCAACTTGATATTCCATCATTGCCGGATGTACTGCTTATTATTATCCCCTCTTCAGCTGGGCATTAAATTATATCTTGCTTGGGTCTAGGAGAGCTTGGAATGCCTCATGTATAATTCAGCAAACTTTTTTCCCGGATCTTATTCAAAGCTAATATATTAATATGAGAGAAAACTAGGACATTGGACATTTGTATGGGTACACAGAAAGTCTGTCTGTGAAAACCAAATATGCTATTGATACACTTTTCTCACATGTACATGGTATTCACCTATTACTTATTACTATTACTATGGCAATATTTGTGACAATGAGATCAACTGTATTGTCTTTCTATGAAACAGGCTCAGGTTCATTTAAGAAAGCATATTCAGAATTTGGTAGATGAAGTACATAAAAATTTGGGTGGAAATGAAGAGTTTAGGTGTGCTGTCTTTAGATAGAGTTAAAATGAGCTTTATATTTAACTATAACCTATATGTAGTTCAGCAATAAAGTTGTACTTATTGAAGAGTTTAGGTGTGATGAATGTGGGCTTTGGATTAATAGGAACTTAAATGGGCATTGCTTTAGTTATGTAACTTAGCTATGCTCTATATATTAATATATAGTTCATTGATTATTCACACAATTATGATATTATCAACATAAATAATACTTGGTATTGGAATAACCCATCGGAACACTTAACAGTGGTTCGCTATTATTATTATTATTATTATCTGCCAGTTTTGTAATTGCGCTAGTTGACTATTATTGTCGTAATTGTGACAATCATCCCTAAAATGGATCTTCGTGTTGCATGACTTTTTAAATTCGCGCCTTTTCTTTGCTGTTGTCACACCACTCCACAAATCATAATTGTTCTCACACCCAACTTTCAAGCTATTATACTTACATTCTCTAACTGTCATAACTCTCAAGCTCAAACCACTGCAGGTTTGCCAAAATGGCTAATAGAAAGCTGCAAAGTGCGTTCTCTTGTCTTGGTTTTCGGACTACTATTTTCTATGCTACGACGCTCTTGGTCCAACCGTAATATTCACACTCTATTCTTCCATATAACAAATCCAATGAAACTTATCAAATCAATCAATACCTGTACGTCGGCTTGGCTTTCGTTTCCTTTATCATATGTACAGCTGAAATCGACCGTGTACTAAAAAAGGTCGCTGAGGGTGTAGAATCCTTTGAAGGTATATTTGAGAAAATACAGTCTACGAGCAATGCTAATCAAAAAGAGAAATTAGAACAAGATTTGAAGAAAGATATCAAAAAACTTCAAAGACATCGCGACCAGATAAAGACATGGATATCGTCAAATGACATTAAAGACAAGAAAGCTCTTATCGACAACAGACGGCTAATTGAACAGGTTAGAATCTATGCATAATTATCATGCAATCAACTTGTCCGATGTTGAGAGAAGCAGGATATTTTGTTATTTTCAACCATTGACTGTCTAACCAAAGTAGCTCTGGTTAATTATAATTGTCAATTATTAGCAAATGGAGAAGTTCAAAGCATGCGAGAAAGAAATGAAAACCAAAGCATATTCTAAAGAAGGTCTTAGTCAGTCAGCTAAAATGGATCCAAAAGAAAAAGAGAAATTAGAAACAACTGCTTGGCTATCAGATATGGTCGATCAACTGGCACTACAGATCGAAGCTGCTGAGGCTAAAGCTGAAAGCTTGCATGCTGTTATTAAGAAAGGTCGCAAGGATCAGCAGAAACTCGAAGATCTCAACGAGGCCGAAAATTTAGTAGAGCGTCATAAATGGCATACCGGACGATTAGAGTTGATACTACGATTACTCGAAAATGGCAACATTACTACAGAGCAGGTGAAATAAGTGAAGTTGATTAAATGTTCGTTTGGATTTTTAGTTCACAAGCGAATAGTCAAGTCATCTGACAGTCTTGTTTGTAAAGGTTTTGGATATTCAGGAGGATATAAAATACTATGCGGAGAGTAACCAGGTGAACAAACCGCTTATTAACGGATAAGGTTTTGTATGCTTGTTTTATCTTGATTGCTGACCCCTCGTTTTGAATAATAAGGATCCCGACTTTGAAGAAGATGAGCATATATATGATGGGTTAAATCTAGAAGAAGAGGAAGAGATTTATGGTAGAACTGGAGATGATCATCATAGCAGCCACGATTCTGTAACAGATGGTAATATTGTCAACAAATTACTACACCTGTTGGATTGAATGTTTATACGTTATGCGGAACACTAATCTTCTCTACTTTTGTATAATAATAGAGCCACAAACACCACAAAAGGAGGTAAATATTTTTATGTATGTTACCCCATTAAAGAATGATCCTAATGATATCTGCATGGGTACAGCACTCGCCGTCAATGTCGCCGACAGCAAGAACCACTGCGCCTATAAATAAACCAACAATACCTGTTCCGACGAGAAGTAAGTTTGACTTGCTGGTATCGATCTTTCAGTTTCTAGTTTCTAACATTATAATGTGTATACAGAAGCTAGTGTTAGCAATGCTCTTGATTCAACATCCCGGCCTAAAGAAGAAGGTATGTCTAGTTATCGAGTTGCCATTTACAATATTTGTTTCTAACCCCATTATTACACAACAAGAAAAACCAAAACTCCCACCACCGATACCGAGTAGCAACGTCCAATCTCCTCCATCAACCAGTGCATATGCATCTGTGAAAGCCATGCAAGGTGGACCACGGATTATAACAAAGGGAGCGCCTGAACAGATGACGACATCAGCACAGACTCCAACAGTCTCCTCCACAGGCCCGTCAGCAACAGCACCTCATCAGCCCCAACCTCCGCTACGCTATGCAGCTGTAACTGCCGCCGAGTCGATACCTCAAGACTTACCTTCAGCAACTACATCCGCATCCGTATCCGCATCTTCCCCTACATCCATACCCGCACCCTTATCTATACCGGCACCAGTACCTACAGCCGTATCTGCAGCTACAGCCGTATCCGCAGCTACAGCCGCACCCATATCCGTAACCGTACCTGCACAGTTTGGCTTATCACAATCATCGCCAGAAGCCGAACAGAAGAAATACCTTGCTCAGTATGAGATAGATTCTTCCAACCAACAACCTATAGAACCTCCTATGAAACCGACCCTATCGACATCAATAGCATCGGCGTTTTCTGCAACGGCATTCCAGCAACTAGCATCTGCGACTCCAATATCGCAAACAATACAGCCTCGCGATGCAACAGCAACTGTTTCAAATTTGGCAGTTGGACAGCAGTCATCATCAATGCAGGCAACCGAAGACTTATCTGAACAGTCGTCTGAACAGGAAACTCAGCATGTAATACCTGATGTTTCTCGGGAAGGACCACATGCTGAGAGCCGTTTCCCCGCATCGCTTACGGATTTAGTAGCTTCTTTTGAAGCTGCTAAGGAAAAATGTAAGACAATTGTGTTGGTCAACTATTCAATACAAGTGAATATGTCTAACGTACATTTTACGTCTATCCAGCTCTAAGTAAAGACAATCGCCATCACGTACAGCAAATGCTTGATGTTAGTTTCCAACATGTACCGGAAAGCGCGGATGCGGAGCGGTATGTATAAGATCTATTTTGGAGACAGAACTGGTTAAAAGGGGAGCAATTTAGTGTGATTTTTTTTAAGTAAATGCTAATTGATTTACTTTATCTGTGTAGACCCAAATACTATGCCCCACGAAACCCATATCCAACTTCCCAATATTACCCCACTACTCCATTATCAGTGTTTGACAATCCAATGCTTTTTGAGAAGTTTGGGCTCGATTCGCTCTTTTTCATATTTTACTATCAGCAAGGAACGTATCAGCAGTATGTATCAGCACAGCGCATTATAAAAAGTTATCCTCCAGGTTCTATAGAGCTATTCATTAACCAGATACTTTATTTAAAAGATATCTTGCTGCTCGCGAATTGAAGAAACAATCCTGGCGATTTCATAAAAAGTATTTGACATGGTTTCAGAGACATGAAGAACCAAAAGCAATGACTGATGAGTACGAGCAGGGAACATATATTTATTTCGATTATGAAGGTGCTTGGTGTCAGCGAAAGAAGACGGAATTCAGGTAAATGCACATACGGCTCGGTTTTATTTACGTAATAAACTTTGATTTAACGACAATTTCTGTCTGTCTTTTCAGATTCGAATACCGTTTCTTGGAAGATGCTGAACTTGTATAAAAGTTTCAATATTATTAGAAATGTGTAACAAGTATTCGCTTAATAAATCTCGGTATGCGCACTCATTCTAATTCCCGCAGCATCAAGAGTAGATATTTCCCATTTGATAAAGCTATTTAGGAAAATATTGATATATCGATTATCATCACAAAGCGTAGAATATTATGTATGTATCTTGTCGCTATTAGATATTAATATGTACTGTTATAAAGTGATATCACTAAATATATCTGACAGATTACTCGTTTTACGAGAGTAAGCATAATCAAATGATGGAAGCATGTTATGTTTGTGACCGATTTACTGCTCGATTTACGGTCATTTGCAATCAAATGTTTGTTTTTGCTCTATGACTTTCAATTTTATGAAATGCACTGATTAGGTAAAAACAAATGCACAACGTCAGGAACACTAATAAAATTGTCTTGATATCATAATCTGATCAGCCAATCAAATCGTCATTTCTCTTCATTATTCACTCAAAACTCGATAAAATGTTTTTTGAACAAAGTGCAAATCATTTTATTTCATAATAATATCCCGAGATATGTCTGTTGCTGTTACGACAAGCCTCGCGGTTGATTTACCGCGGTCTTGCATCTCGAGGCGGGTTTTTGGAGGCGCTGTATTGAGCAAACATAATTAAATATCTAAATTTGTAATACATGACATTTCACACAAAAACTTACTGCCTTCTGTGGTCTTGCGGCACGAGGTGGATTGCGTCTCGGCTGAGGTGGTTGCACCACAATTTTCCTTTAAAGCAAATATAATTAATGTCTTACCAAACTTATGGTAGATGGCATCGCTGAATTAAACTTGCTGGCCCCTCGATTGTGGTAGAGGTGCTATTTAAGAAAGAAAAAATTACTTTAGCCAGAAGAACGTCTTATGAATGAACAAGTATATCGAGCGCTTGATTTTATTTATTTTACCTGGATTTCCCTGCACCACAGCTCTTCTTCGCCCTGGTCTTCTAGACCAAGGGTGGGAACATCTTATTAAAATAATAATACTTGGTCAAATAAACAATACGAATGAAATTATTTAATGTCTTTATTTTCGTTCATCTTACTTTGTTGGGGATGATAGTTACCGAAGCAGGCAGGTTTCTGGGAAATATTCTATTTATGGAGTTAGTCGCCACGGTGGGATAGGGTGAGGGCGTCTTTGCAGCGTTGCCGGGAGGTTCACTACTCTGTTAAACCCCCTGAGGCTAAGTTCTAGCCTCTGCTCTCTTTGATAGAAAGCACGAGGAGCGATATGCTCCTCACGCTGCATTATCCACTGAATAGTTACCTGCCTTCGGTTCTCCCTTTCCTCCTGACGCATCCGTTGGCAATATAAATGCCAACGCGAAAACCGCCTTGTTTCGTCCCACCTCGGCAGGTCTCGCGCCACCGCTGATAGTCTTCGAGACGTCTCGAATATGCTTGGCGTCTTGCGTTAAAGTGACGACTCGTCTGCCAGTCACAGTATGCTGAATGTAGACCCATAATAGAAAAAAATAAATAAAAAAATAAAAATAAATGGATGGTAATATCCCAGCGCATAAAAATGTCGCTCCCGAATGGAAGGCGACAGTGGTTTGGACTTGTTCTCCGTCCCTCGCCAGCTGTGCTGCCACAACAAAACTTGGAACGGAGAAGAAATTTTGGGCGCTTGTGTCATAGGCCATCGTAACAGTAAGTCCGCTTGTTATCTTTTGCAAGAGAAAAAGCGTAAAGCATGTGTCATCTGGGTTTTTATTATTTTTTAGATTTCACGTTTTGAAACACGCGATTACTTACTATTACTATTACACCAACTACTGCGGATATTAGAACAATTTACTAAGTGGTTCAAAAGAACTTTAAAAATTACCAGATTAATTGAGTAACGCACCGCCACCAATTACACATTTGTAAAATTTAGGGTTTATAACTTGCTTTCGTTCACTAATATCTTCTAACGTTACTACAATATGCTCCTTATTCTCATTTACATTACATTTAACTCTAATCAATCATTGTCTAGATAATCGAGAGAATTTGACATGGCCGCATTTTTCAGAAGAGCAACTACTGTTGCGTGTTGTGAATAAAACGAGTTGCCATGACCAGTAGCAAGCTCGAATATCGATCTGTGCACGGGGTAATGAAGGGTGCTATTTGAGGATACTATATGATTTTGTTGGTGGGTTAATCATGAATATTGACTATAAAAAGGTTCTATAATGTTTAGCGTTAGTGGGTTAATGAGTATCAAAGTTTAACTGATAAATAGTATAATGATAATCTTATATATTGTTACTACAAAACCGCTTTTGCACCCGGATCTAGCTGAGGGGAATAATAATAACTATGGTTTGCGGTACGCAAACGGTAATCTGTTACGCATCAATTGAATGAGACAAAGTGTACTACTTTATTATATATACCTAATGCAAATAGACAAAAATGTAAAGAACGGAGTGACCAGATACTGGCTAGTAAAACACGGGCTGAAATTCGTCCTCGTATAATTAGATTCTCTCTAACTAGATGGTATTAACTTTGTTGTTCATTTAATTTACATCAAACCTTGAGATTAACGAAGAACCAGTGAAAATCGTATGTCTAGTACAGATGCGGGAATAAATAATGATAGCTTAAATCGTAGTTCAAGTTAAATGCAGTAGTAGGCAGTATTATACGAGATAAGAACGGTTTATATTCCGCCGGTTGGCGAACAATAAGTATGTCAATTTAACAATTGACGTCTTGAAGTTGTGTGTCATAAAGTTGCGGCCAGCGAAGTTATTTGCGCCTGGCAATCGGTTTTAATTGGTATGCGGCAATATAAATTTAGTTTACATTTAATTGCTCTTTATCTAATCAGTACAAAGTCAGTTAATAGAAACAAAATCATATTGGAATCGATGCTACATTTGTCAAGTCAGACCCAACTCAACTATTACAAAAGCATTCTATAAAGACAGGAATCGGAAGTGTAAATTGGACGAGTTGCCACATACATTCGAAAGAACATGACAACATGTGTTTGAATTGCGTTTGACAATCAACATTACCATTTGTTTATTTGCAAGGTCGATGTATAAGTTTTAACATGATTAAAAAAAAAAGATTAACCCAAATCTAAAAACGTCCATATTCTCATCTACATGTTAATTCCTCCGAATTAGAGCGTAGACCGAGAACGACAATGATGAGATCATAACCAGATAGAGTTGCTGAAAAGGTTGTTTTTATCTATAACTAACAAATCTGTGCCCGTAGCTAAACATGTGATATTTTTTCCAGAATCAGAACAACCCTTATAGTTACTTTGCATGAAAGTTCTACATCCATCCTACGAAAAAGAATACATTGTATTATTTGAGCTTGCAATAAAACATGATACTATTTATTCGCCAAGTTTGAGTTTTCGCAGAAATTTAAATGGGAAAGGATAGCATATTGGACCGTAGCCAAGGATAACGATATTCAAGCGCTTAATAGATAAACAGCTTGCATCTACGTTTTCCGTAGATACTGGTCGAGTTCGCAACAAGTACCGCCGACTTGGTGGTTTGAGAAGAAATGACTGGGACTCGCTATGCAATCGGATCAGCAGTTTAGGCAAAAACTACACACAGCCAGTAACCAATGAATACCAGATAATCGACGTAACACGAATGGATGTTGGGTATCTTGTTCCATCAACTCAAATCCTTATCACATACTATAGGAATATAGTCATTGAGTATGGATTGTCATGCAGTGGGATTGGCAACCACATGGTGTAGGGCTAAGTTAAAGTATTCGCTGTTGTATAGTTAATGTCGCGGCTGATGCTGATTCCAAATTAGGATGCAGTGTTTGGTGAACTCGTCCATATAAGGAAATCAAAATTTGCATGTGAACACAATTATCGTTGGTCAGAATATAGCAGATAGTTGTATCACAATAACAGACCATGAACCTGCGAAATTTTGGGGGTAGTTGCACAATCTTGAATAAAAGTCTCTCGCGATAGTACATAAACTGATTTCTTGGCGGTGCTATCAAATTATATCGTTACTTTTTTTGTCGTACAGCTGATGAGATCTAGCCAACGATAAACTGATTTCCAAAACGGATTGGCTCGATAAACTGGTGAGAGCACATTAAATCACGGTTATCTTTTCCATTAAAATGGAGTATCGCATTCTTTACAGTACGACCTTTCGATTACATAATCTAATTCTTCCATCATCTTCCATTGTCTTCCATCATCTTCCATCATCTTTCATCATCTTCCATCAGCATAGTAATAAGGCTAGTCGTTCACAGATTCGGTTAGCTATATTCAGAAGGTACAGTGCATGGTCTATCAAGTAAGGTCTTTCAAGTAAAAAGTCTCAAAAATTAAACACTTTTCCCAGTGGAAATGTTGACCTTTTTTGAATGTGGTAGATGGGATGCAGGAGTGTTCTAAGGATTCTTATGTGGGAACGTCTTATTTACCCATTCGCAACAATACGCCGTTCGGCGACTACAATAAACAAATTTCTTGTCAATGGTCTAGCGAATTCGTGATTTGGCAGCGTGAAGAACAATATCCTCAATGTCTTCATACGGTAGAAAGCGTATATTGTATTAACGACAAATCTTAGACAGACATATAAGTATTCACACAAAGATAATGTTTATTTCAGTTTCGTACAAAGCGACAATTTGAAGAACTTAATATGAACAGTTCTCTTGGATATATGATATAATTATGGAGTTACGATTTTGCAACCTTCAACGACGGTTATATATCGTACTATTACAAAGTGATGGTTTTATGTTAGTAGATATGACTAATGATGGTGTGTAGTAGTTTAATAGTAGTTTGGTGGTTGTCATGTACCTGTCTCTCCTTATTGTCAGCATTTACAAGTACCAGCTTCACACTGGCATGTTGATCCGCAGTTGCAAGAGCTAATTCGATGAAATTTACATAAGAGTTGGATTCGTGATTATAATTCGGTTGGATTTATTATAGGTTCTATATAC